TAAAGTATTCACATCTAAACTGCAAACTGTGTTTGCGATTCCTATCTTGACTGGAGAATGAAAATCATTAGAAATGCAGTACTTGCGCTGCTAAACTGTTTAACTGAAAGCAGTCTAGGTGCTCATAGTGCACTAAATTACAGCGCTTTTAGACTCCTTTGTATTGCATAGTCACACGATTCTGCATGATTTCAAAGTTTCTGTACCTCTCATAATGGTAATGGAACTTGACCTACGTTTGGTCAATCAGAAAACAAAATAATCAGTGGCTTTGGCCCACCTGTGGCCAATCGAAACACAAAATCATCACTTTACTTGACCAACTTGGCTTGGGGCCAATCAGTCTTTTGTACCTCTCTTAATGGCCATGGGACTTGACTCACCTGTGGCTAATTAGAGCACACAAAGTAATCAGTGGCCTTGCCAATGTGTGGCTAAATGGAGCATGAAATAATCACTGACCTGACCAACTTGTGGCCAAGCAGAACATTGAAATAGTCACTGGAGCTTACCAACTTGTGGCCAATTAGAACATAAAATAATCATTGGACCTGACCAAATTGTGGCCAGTCAAAGCATGAAATCATCACTGGACTTGACCAACTTGGCTTGTAGCCAATCAGTCTCCTGTACCTCTTGTAATGGCCAGAGGACTTGACCAGCTTGTGGCTAATTAGTACAGAAAATAACCAGTGGACTTGACCAACCCTATCATAACCAGAAATCGGCAGACTTGACCAGCTTGTGGCCAAGCAGAACATGAAATATTCACTGGCTTGACCAGCTTGTGGCCAGGCAGAACATGAAATATTTGACACTGGCTTGACCAGCTTGTGGCCAAGCAGAACATGAAATATTCACTGGCTTGACCAGCTTGTGGCCAAGCAGAACATTAAATATTCACTGGCTTGACCAGCTTGTGGCCAGGCAGAACATGAAATATTCACTGGCTTGACCAGCTTGTGGCCAGGCAGAACATGAAATATTCACCGGCTTGACTAGCTTGTGGCCAGGCAGAACATGAAATATTCACCGGCTTGAGCAGCTTGTGGCCAGGCAGAACATGAAATATTCACCGGCTTGAGCAGCTTGTGGCCAGGCAGAACATGAAATATTCACCGGCTTGACCAGCTTGTGGCCAGGCAGAACATGAAATATTCACTGGCTTGACCAGCTTGTGGCCAGGCAGAACATGAAATATTCACCGGCTTGACCAGCTTGTGGCCAGTCAAAGCATAAAATCATCATCACCAGACTTGACCATCTTGACTTGAGGCCAATCAGCATCTTTTGTACCTCTCATAATGGTCAGGAGACTTGACCAACTAGGCCAATCAGAACAGAAAATAATCCGTGGAAGGAGACCAACGTGTGGCCTTTCAGAAGTCATCACCAGATTTGACCAGCTTGTGACCAGTCAGAATATGAAATTGCCAGTGCAATCGTTTTATAGCTTGGAAAAAGTGGGCCACCATAAGTTTTTTTTTTTTTTTTTTTTTTTTTTTTTTTTTTTTTTTTTTTTTTTTTAAGCTAGTCAAAGGATTACCACATTCTCCACTAGACCAGTACATTGCTATTTAGCTCCTTATATAAGATTTTCAGAATAAGAATAATCTGACACAGCTTTGTATGTGTTCGAAAGATCTGACCAGCTGCAAACCTCAGCCAATCACTTTATTAGAAAAGTCGAAGTACAGTACCAATCTGAAGCTAATCAAAGCTTTGGGGCACTCAGGATTAGGGTATTATGCAATTTATCAAAAAACTGAAATAGTCATAGTACCAGATCCAGCCATGATTTAGGGACTTATTAATAAAGCAGTAAATCTCACATTCACCAAACAATTGCTGCAGGTGAATCTTCCTGGTCCATGTGTTTTTAAATGACAGTGATTTGGTTTGCCACCAGTGAATGTTTAGTAAAAGTCGAAATTACTAATCTAAAGATACACCCCAAAGAGGTGAAAAGGATAACTAGTAAATTGCATGGTATTAAATATACTATTTTCCCCTGGGCTTACTTATTTGATGTAACTGCTAATATTTTTCTAGACCTGTATACATTTCATGTAAAATATTTGTTTAAAGCTGAATTCCAGGAATCCAGCAATTAAATAAAATAAAAAAAAAAAAAGTCACACCATGAGTTAAGTCCATTGAGGTGTATGACACCTCCTGGGCCTAGCTCTATTATTTATATCACAGGTTTATATTACTCCTGGAAGACTGCTATCAATGTAGTTCCTGGAACCTTCTGAGCTAGACCTCTTGAACAGGCGAGCCGATGCAGCTGCTGTGCCCGCTCCCTCCCCTCTTCCTACCCATTCACAGAAGCCTTGGTATTATGTGAACACATTCACAAAATACCAAGGCTTCTGTGACTGGGCAGCAGAGGGGAGGGGTGGGCATAGCTGCTTTGTGTGCTTCTCTCCTCTCAGATCCTGGAGTGTCTCTCCGACAAAGCATTAAACCTGTGCAATGTAAAAAGAGAAGCCCAGGAGATGTCATACAGCTCCTTGGACTTAACTCATAGGGGGGATTTACTAAAACTGGTGCAGCTGTGCATGCTAAACGAAAACGGGTGCAGCTTGTTAACCATTTCAATACCGGGCCAATTTTACCCCTTCCTGCCCAGGCCCATTTTCCAGGTTTCAGCGCTCTCACACTTTGAATGACAATTGCACGGTCATACAACATTGTACCCAAACTAAAATAATATCATTTTCTTCACACAACTAGAGCTTTCTTTTGGTGGTATTTAATCACCGCTGGGGATTTTATTTTTTGCTAAATTATCAAAAAAAGACCGAAAAGTTTGAAAAAAAACCCACATTTTTCTTTGTTTCTGTTATAAAAGTTTGCAAATAAATAATTGTTCTTCATAAATTTAGGCCGAGATGTATTCTGCTACATGTCTTTGGTGAAAATAACCCAAATTAGGATGTATTATTTAGTTTGTAGGAAAGTTATAGAGTTCACAAACTATGGTATAGATCTGAAAATTGATCAATCCTGAAGTACTGACAGCCAATCTAATTTCTTGAGGTCCAAGAATGTCAGAATAGTACAGATATCCCCCAAATGACCCCTTTTTGCAGAGTAGACAGTCCGACGTACTTTACGAGAGGCATGGCAAGTTTTTTGAAGTTGTGTTTTTTTTTGTCATAATTTTTCGGAAAATGAAAAAATGCAAAAAATTATTTTCACAATTTTTTATTTTTTTTTACATACTGTCACCAGTGCAGTACAGTGTCATCATATAACTGGCATGGCAGTGATCAGGGACACTGACTGGTGACAGTATGAAAAAAAAAAAAAAAAAAATTAAATTTTTTTTTATTATTTTTTTAATTTTTTATTACTTTTTTTTCTTTTTTTTAAGATTTTTTTTTTCATATTTCACTATGTCCAAAGTAGTACAATGTTACCATAGTAACATTGGTACTACTTTGGGGAAGTGATCAGTATTTTTTTTTTTTTTTTTTTACACAATTTGCTTATAGCAAAGAATTACTTTGCTATAAGCAAGCATTTACCAGAATGACATCGATTCATTCAGGTTTATTTATTTATTTATTTTTTTTGTGCTTAGCTGTGATTTGGCCACAGCTAATCACATGACATGTGCATGTGATAGCTGTGACCATTCACAGCTAGACACTAGTATACAATGGATGGCATGAATGAAGCCATCCATTGTATACAACTGTCATGTGACCTGCTGTGATTGGTCACAGCAGGTCACATGGTACCGGCAACGGGGGTCGATACTCAGATCTGTCATCGGCCATGTCCGAGGTACACGGCCGGTGACAGATCGCGCCGCTGCGCAGCTCTGCAAGTGCGAAAAGTGCACATGTGCGGCAGGACGCCATTTGGCGTCCAACCCGGAAATCCGATACATTTTTCCGGCCGCCTTTTGGCCGGGGCGTATATTGGTTAAATTGACCTTTGGCAATTAAACCTGAAAGCTGATTGGTGTCTATGCAGAGCTGCACCAGATTTTTCACTTTCCAGTTGTAGTAAATAACCCCCATAATCTGCCTTCACTTTTGACAAAATGGTAGAATTCCTGGAATTCAGCTTTAATTCTCTCAAGTAATGTGCTTCTGTAGAAAGATACCTTAAAGCGTATGTTAGGGCAAAAATGAAGGTGTGTGTGTGTATGTATGTGTATATGTGTATGTATGTATATGTGTGTGTGTGTATATGTATGTAAGCTCCAAGGATCAGGGCCCTCCTTTCCCTCTTGTATTGAACTGTATTGTTGCTGTATTGTCTCCTGCTATATTGTAAAGCGCTGAGCAAACTGTTGGCGCTATATAAATCCTGTATAATTATATATATCTTTGGAAACTTTCCAAGCACAGAAAAATACCTGATCATCCTGCCAGAAATCCAGTGAGCTCCTAACGTCCTATTGTAAGCTGACAACACGGTGCCTCTAATATACAGAAATCCCAAGCAGTATTGTCAGCCCTGCTAAGTTTCTGCATGCTAGGGGAAGGTGTTCTGTAGTTCAGCAGGAGAGAACTGGGCAGGGCTTACAACACTGCTTTAGATTTTGGTGCGGCAAAGGCAGTGTTGTCAGCTCGCTTATAGGAAGTTAGGAGTTTAATGGATTTGTGTCAGGATCAGCCGGTATTTTTCTATACTTCTAGCATTTTAGCCACTAGCCTACAGGGCACTTATACCCCCTTCCTGCCCAGGCCAATTTCCAGCTTTCAGCGCTGTCACACTTTGAATGACAATTGCGTGGTCATGCAACACTGTACCCATATGAAATTTTTATAATTTTATTGTGACAGAGCTTTATCTTGGGGGTATTTAATCACCTCTGGGTTTTTTATTTTTACTTAAACCAAAAAAAACACTGAAAATATTGAAAAAAAAAAAAGTTTTTTTTTCTTCGTTTTTGTTATAAAATTTTGTAAATAAGTGATTTTTCTCCTTCACTGATGTGCGCTAATGAGGCTGCAGTGATGGGCACTGATAGGCTGCACTGATGAGGAGGCACTAGTAGGTGGCACCGATGGTCATTGACAGGCATCACTGATGGGCACTGAAAGGCAGCACTCGTATATGGCACTGTTAGGTGGCATTGACTGGCACTGTTAGGTGGCACTGACTGGTACTGTTAGGTGGCACTTATAGGCGGCACTGATGCACACTGATAGGTGGCACTGACTGGCATTGATAGGTGGCACTGACTGGCACTGATGGGTGACACTGAAAGGCAGCTCAGATGGGCACTGATATGTGGCATTGTGCACTAAAATGTGGCACTGATGGGCATTGGCAGGTGGCATGGATGAGCACTAAGCTGGCACTGATGGACACTGACAGGTGGCGCTGCTGGGGCTACACTGATCATCGGATCACACTGATAATTAGTGCTCTGATGATCTGTGTAGATTCCCCTCCGCGGAATGCCGATTACCGGCTCTCTACCTCTCGAGCTGTCAGCGTGACAGCTCGTGGGGAGAGAAATGCCGATAACCGGCATTTCCCTGTTTACATGTGATCAGCTGTGATTTGACACAGCTGATCACATGACCGAGCCGTCATCTTCGGCTCTTTCCGTGGATCGGTGATTCGCTGTGTCCGAGGTACACAGCGCACTGCCGATCGCCGCGTTGCGTGCTCCAGAAGCCGCGCATGCGCGGTTAGAATGGGAGGACGTCATATGACGTCCTCCCAGAACGAGAGAACCGCCTTGCGTCCGTCATTTTACTATATGGGGGGCGGGAGGTGGTTAAAGGAATATGACACGAGAGGAATGTGTGCATATGCTGACAGATCCACTTTTTTTTTTTTTTTACATACTTTACCTGTTGCCATTCCTTCCTATTGTAAAGCAGCATTTTCTGCTCTCAGAGTTTACATTGTACCGAGGGATTTCAAGAGCATTGCAATAATTGGTCTGGGCTTTCTTTCTGTCTTCCCTTGAGAAGGAAGGGAAAGCTTCTTTTACAAATCCCTGCGTCTGCACATTTACTTCAACTCTCCATTAGCTCTCTTTTTGATATAATTTTCCTGTATCCTAATTAACAACTTAAAGGTGTAAAATGATCATTTTTTTTCTTTGCCTTCTCAGGTTTTTACCAATTAACGCCGTTTTTAAAAGAAAGAAAAATCTATAAAAGCCTAATTAATTTTCATTCATTGTTTAACTAGACTAATTTGCTACCTAGAGATTATTTTTTTTAGCCACATTTATATGGAGGTTACAAAAAAAACTGGATCAATGTGCTGCTATTAGTATGGATTACATGAGGAGTAGAAGAGGTCTCCATTGCCATGTAATATTAATGTAGCATGACCTGTACAGGCTGGATCGCTGTTATTGGCTGCTACTATAGTTAAGGTTCACCATCATCACAGAGTTGCAGTGACTGGTTTTAAAGTAGAATTTTGGGCAAAACCTAACTAAAAATTGATTTAAAAAGGTTTCATCTCCCCTCCTAACACCTATTCTGAACAGCCTAAATTAAGTAAGGAAACATCTGTATACTTGACTATTTTCAAGCGACTCCTGTCACATGATCTCCCTATGTCAGCTAGCACCGGTTGCAGGGGAGAGGAGAGAGCACTCCTGGGAATGGTCTCATCACCCATAGGCTTCAGTGGTCCATTCATTGTCAGCAATTTCACCTCTCCTCTGCAGCAGCATCACATGACCAGACCGGAGCGGCCTGAAAATAGGTAAGGATACAGATATTTCTTACACGGGTTAGTAAGAATCAGTGTTAGGTGGGAGGGAGGGGGCATTTTAAAGAGTGAATAGGTTTTGCCTGGAATTCCACTTTAATTGTTTGTCCCTGCTTTTCAGAAGTGAAGTCCTACTTTTAAAGTGATACTAAATGCAATAAAAAAAACCCAATAAATTAACAAACATGTCATACTTGCCTGCTCTGTGCAGTGGTCTTGCACAAAGCAGCCCTGATTTTCTTCTCTGGGTCCTCTCCGGTGATCCTGACTCCTCCTTTATGCCAAGTGCCCCAAAGCAAGCTGCTTGCATTGGGGGCACCCATGCAGGCTCACTCCCGAGTCACTGCTCTGCATGTCTATTCACATACAGAGCCATAGCTCGGCCCAACACCCTCTCTCTCCTCATTGGCTCACTGGCTGTGATTGACAAATCCCCTTTTCTCCCCACTCTTTTCCCCCTTCCTCGCACTTTCTTCTTCCTCCGTTTCCCCTCTCCCCTCCCCTCTCTTTCCAACCCTCCTGCGCTCTCCTCTTCCTTCGCCGCTCCTGCGCTCTCCTCTTCCTTCGCAGCTCCTGCGCTCTCCTCTTCCTTCGCAGCTCCTGCGCTCTCCTCTTCCTTCGCAGCTCCTGCGCTCTCCTCTTCCTTCGCAGCTCCTGCGCTCTCCTCTTCCTTCGCAGCTCCTGCGCTCTCCTCTTCCTTCGCAGCTCCTGCGCTCTCCTCTTCCTTCGCCGCTCCTGCGCTCTCCTCTTCCTGCGCCGCTCCTGCGCTCTCCTCTTCCTGCGCCGCTCCTGCGCTCTCCTCTTCCTGCGCCGCTCCTGCGCTCTCCTCTTCCTGCGCCGCTCCTGCGCTCTCCTCTTCCTGCGCTCTCCTCTTCCTGTGCCGCTCCTGCGCTCTTTTCTAACCCCCCGCCCCCTCCTGCGCTCTTTTCTAACCCCCCCCCTCACGCCCTCCTCCTGCGCTCTTTTCTAATCCCCCGCCCCCCTCCTGCGCTCTTTTCTAATCCCCCGCCCTCCTCCTGCGCTCTTTTCTAATCCCCCGCCCTCCTCCTGCGCTCTTTTCTAATCCCCCGCCCTCCTCCTGCGCTCTTTTCTAATCCCCCGCCCTCCTCCTGCGCTCTTTTGCCCACCTCATGTTCTCTCCGCCTCGAGTGACTGGTCACGCAACTGGAAGGCCCCTGCTGAGCCTGTTGATCAATGCTCATGGCATAAATAAGCTCTGACAGCAGCATAGAAAAGTCAAGTCACAAGGCTAGCTGTGCTTTATAAATCTCAGGGACTGGTTGGACAGGAATGCAAATAACTTTGGCAGGTGAAACCGGTCTTTAACTGTTTGACCGACTTTAGTTTTCTTACAATTTAAATATAACGTCCTCGTATACAGTATTCCATTTTTGGCTTAGAGCTAGATCTTGTATTTCAGATCATTTTCTTCATTGTGGTGGTGGGGGGGGGGGGGGGGGTAGCAGCAGAAGTTGCAAGCCATCGATTGCTCTATGTAATAGACTAAAAGTGTCTAGTGGCCCGGCATCCGCTATTGTATTATAACTAATGAATAAATAATTGAAACGTTTCCTAATTTGTTGTTTTGTTCTCCGCCTGGCTAAGCGGTCCTGCTCATGCACATCGATTATACCTGCTTTGTTATTTATCACAATAATTTATAAGTGAGTCGCTTTCATTTTCTTTTTTCTTCTTCAATTCCAGACAAATTTATTTTATTAAGTGCTGGAGGTGCTGAAATTAGCCCTTTAATTTCAGCAGTGAAAACTGATGGTGTAAATAAATATAATATATATATATATTATATATATATATATATATATATATATATATATATATATATATTATATTATATATTATTATTATTATTATTATTATTATTATTTTTTTTTTTTTGTGTCTGAGAGCAAGTAATTTTTTCTGCTCTTCACCTCAGCATAATGGGATGGGGGTGGACGGTCTTGTGTTGGAGGTTTTGGGAAATAATAGCCGCGGCATATGAATAGGAGTCTTGTGATGGCCTGTTCATCTGCTGGCATGCTGCACTCCATCCTCACACACAGCCTTGTCATCTGCAGGTGTTTTTCTCTGCCAGTTCTAGTACTGGTTAGTTATGTGCAAGATTTCAATTATGTCTTTTTTTTTTCCAACCTGATTGTCCACTATGTTGGCTACCTTTTGTGAGATAGCAATCCTTTAGAGACCCTTATGCTAGAACAGGGGTCTCCAACCTACAATCTGCGGGCCACATCCGGCCCACTACAAGATTGTATCTGGCCCCCAACTAGGCTCAGTGGTGTATCTTCAATGTGCATTGATAGGGGATTAACGTCAGTAGAGGCTGCCTATTATTTCTGCTTCATTTCTGTAAGGGGGGGGGAGGCTCTGATGAGGGCCATAATGTAAGAGGGGACCTAATGGGGACCCTGGTGAAAGGGGGGACTGGAGGGGTCTCTACTGGGGACCCTGGTGTAAGGGGGACTCTGCTGGGGACCATGGAGTAAAACGGACTCTTCTGGGACCCTTGGGGCACTCTGGTGTAAGGCCAGGGTCCACATCAGACCACCCCCCCTTTCCTTACACCACAGTCCCCAGAGTGCCCCAAGGGTCCCAGCAGAGTCCCCCTTTAGGCCAGGGTCCACATCAGACCACCCCCCTTTCCTAAGGGGGACTCTTCTGAGGACCCCCCCTTTCCTAAGGGGTGGGGGGGCGCTCTGAGGACCCTGATGTAAGGGGGGGGGGCGGCTCTGATGGGGACTCTGATATAAGGGGAACTCTTATAAGGGGATTTTTTGGCCTTTGAGTATTTGCAAAATATATGATGTGACCATTGTACTGAAAAGTTTGGAAATCCCTCTGATGAAATGTTGTTTCAAATAAAGTTTTCTTAAAAAAACACATCACACTGCAGGCTCACTGTCCCTGAACTAACAGTAGCCCACATGCTAAAAAGTGTGTAAGCATGCGTCGCTGTTTGAGTCCAAAAGGCTATGTAGGAAGTTGGGGGAGGGGCAGAGGAGCTGGGCCAATATAGGGACTTCTAGACACTCCCAGAAGAGAACTATGCCATTCAAGGGGGGAGGGGACTAAGGAATTGACTTTTTTCCTTGAGTAGTTACATTTTCTAGCAAATTTTAAAAGCACATTGTAAGTGAATAAAAAAAATTATAGAAAGGAAAAAAAACTGCAAATAGGCATTTTAAAATGTTTTTTTTTGTTTTTTTTTTTAAACTGAAAATTTTCAGATGGTAACAGGGTCTCTTTAATCACTTTGCATTCAGAAAACATTTTTAAATGTATTAAAATCTGTATTTAATTTTCGCTGATGCAGTGGCATTACTTAGACAGGTCATAGATGCTAAAATTTTTATTTTTTTTTTTAACCTTCCACCAAGGGTGAAATTGAATCTCGGCCCGACCCCAATTGAACAGAATTGGATCCCCATCCGTCCCTTTTTAGGGTGATCGAATCAGATGTCGACGGGTGTAATCAGACGTGTCACTCTATAGAGGACAATGAAGGTTCCGATGGGGTCCGCCTGAAAAACAGGCAAGCGGACCCGATTGGAACATCCGTGTAAAGAGCCCTTATTTTTTTAAAGCCAAACTCTGGGCAAATATAATTCATCCCTTGCAGTAGGACTGTGCCAGCACTGCAAGGGTTAATAGCTCATTTTGTCCAGGGGAGGGGAGAAACTGTTTTAATTATCTGTTTCTCCCACATGATCCAGCAGTAGACTGTTCCCTTGGCGTCCTCACATCCAGTGCAGGGCTATGGACCCTGCTCTAGTCTTGATGACATCAGGACTTAGACTGATGGAGTGTGGGGATGCAGATGCTGCAGGAAAGAACGGGTAAGTATGTCTCCTTTTATTGTTCCTCTAGACCTAAACTAGTGATTAACCCCTGC